TTATAGATCATTTATGATGGGTATCCAATGTGGAACAGCATTCCCAATGGGAATTCCAAGAAGAATGAGCAATGCCAGAGGTGTGGGATGCCCGGAAGAGCCTGGAGCTCAGCCTGAGGGATCACTGCTGGCTCCCTGAAAAATCAGCCTGAGGGATCCACAGGAAAACACACTGGAGGGAGGAAAAATGGATTTATGGATCATTTCTGATGGGTCTATAAATCGTGGAACAGCATTCCCAATGGGAATTTTGGAATGTGCACCAGAAGTGTGGGATGCCTGGAAAAGCAGGGCCATGGGCTGGAGCTCAGCTGCAGGGATCCCAGTCAGGTTCCTGGGAAATATCTGAGCACAGGAATCCACAGGAAAACCCACTGGAGGGAGGGAAAATGGGTTTATAAGTCATTTGTGATGGGTTTCCAATGTGGAACAGCGTTTCCAATGGGAATTCTGGGGAGGGCAAGCAGTGCTGAAGGTGTGAGATGCCCTGAAGAGCCTGGAGCTCAGCCTGAGGGATCCCTGCTGGCTCCCTGGGAAATGTCTGAGCACAGGGATCCATAGAAAAACCCACTGGAGGGAGGAAAAATGGGTTTATAGATCATTTCTGATGTGGAACAGCAATCCCAATGGGAATTCTGGGAAGGGCGAGCAGCACTGGAGGTGTGGGATGCCCAGAAGAGCCTGGAGCTCAGCCTGACAGATCCCTGCCAGCTCCCTGGGAAATGTCTGAGCACAGGGATCCACAGGAAAACACAGTGGAGGAAAGAAAAATTGATTTATATATTATTTATGATGAGTATCCAACGTGGAACAGTGTTCCCAATGGGAATTCTGGGGAGCGCAAGCAGTGCCCGAGGTGTGGGATGCCCAGAAGAGCCTGGAGCTCAGCCTGAGGGATCCCTGCTGGCTCCCTGGGGAATGTTTGAGCACAGGGATCCTCAGGAAAGCACACTGGAAGGAGGAAAAATGGATTTACAGATCATTTGTGATGTGGAACAGCAATCCCAATGGGAATTCTGGGGAGGGTGAGCAGTGCTGGAGGTGTGGGATGCCCTGAAGAGCTTGGAGCTCAGCCTGAGGGATCCCTGGCAGCTCCCTGGGAAATGTCTGAGAACAGGGATCCACAGGAAAACACAGTGGAGGGAGGAAAAATGGATTTATAGATCATTTGTGATGGGTCTCCAATGTGGAACAGCATTCCCAATGGGAATTCCAAAAAGAATGAACAATGCCGGAGGTGTGGGATGTCCTGACGAGCCTGGAGCTCAGGCTGAGGGATCCCAGTCAGCTCCCTGGGAAATGTCTGAGACAGGGATCCACAGGAAAACACACTGGAGGGAGGAAAAATTGATTTCTAGATCATTTATGATGCATCTCCAATGTGGAACAGCATTCCCAATGGGAATTTTGGAATGTGTACCAGAAGTGTGGGATGCCTGGAAAAGCAGGGCCATGGGCTGGAGGGATCCCAGTCACAGGAAAGCACACTGGAGGGAGGAAAAATGGATTTACAGATAATTTATGATGTGTTTCCAATGTGGAACAGCGTTCCCAATGGCAATTCTGGGGAGGGTGAGCAGTGCCATAGGGATGGGATCCCTGGAAAAGCGGGGCCATGGGTGGGAACTGAGCCTGAGGGATCCGTGGCAGCTCCCTGGGAAATGTCTGAGCACAGGGACCCTCAGGAAAATCCACTGGAAGGAGGAAAAATGGATTTATAGATAATTTATGATGGGTCTCCAATGTGGAACAGCATTCCAAATAGGAATTTCGGAAGGTGCACCAGAAGTGTGGGATGTCCAGAAAAGCAGGGCCACGGGCTGGAGCTCAGCCTGAACTTCAGGAGGTCCCAACAATCTCCTAAACCATCTCTTGCTACTTCCCAGACATCCCCTGACTGCCCTGAGACAGATTTTTACCCAGATGTTTTTCCAGGGAAATCCCAGACAGATTTTGACCCAAATCCAGATGTTTTTCCAGGGAAATCCCTCACTCGGATGTTCCTGCTCGGGGGTTCAGGTGAGCACCAAGGCACAAGGATCGGGTGATGTTTGGAGCAGGAAACAAAGCACAAAAAATGCCCCTCACTGAAAAATCTGCAGGTTTTTCGGAGATAATTTTGGGTTTCCCTCCATCTTTTAAATTTCTTCATCTATTCCAAGTTTTTTAGGGAGCCATGGGRTGGGAGAGGGATGGATGGAGACACCTCCACCCCCTGGCTAATGGGGAAATGCTCCCTTCTCCCAAGGAAAAAGCGACCAGAAAAGAGGAAAAGCCCCAAACTGTGSCAGGGGAAGTTCARTTGGAAATCAGGGAAAATTCCTTTTTGGAAAGGATTGTCCAGCCCTATAAATTGATAAATCTGTAACTTCCCACATTTTCAATAATTTCCTTCCAAATATGGATTCAGAGCACAAATCCAGGCATTTCTGGAGGGAGAAATCCAACACGCAGTGGGGTTTTTTTTGTGTTTATTTTCCCTGATCTCTGAGAGGACACCCAGCCACCCCTGAGATCCACCAGGAATTAACGGCAGCTTTTGAGCAATGAAACTCAGGAAAACCAGAAAAATTTGGGTTTCTGGAAGCGGAGAGGTGGAACAGAGGATGATATTCACATTATTAATGATAATAACAACAACTTCTGGGAAGCTGATGTGGTTGTGGGTGCCTGGAGAAGCCTCCATCATGCTCAGGGGTGTCAGGAAACAAAACACCCTTTAATTAGTGGTAATTAGCGCTGCTGGAAGTCAGGCACCTTCCCTTGCTGCTCCCCATTCCTTCCTCAGACTCCTCAGGGCTTCATGTTTGCACAAGAGGCAGCAAAATGGGCACTTTCCAGCATCACTTTTCAACTGAGGTGATTAAAAACGCTGCAAAAATGATCTGGGAGATATCAATCAGCACGAGGAGATTGGAGAGGAGCCACGGGACTAATGAAACCCCTGGAGATAGGATCTGAACAGCAAAATCCTGGATTTGGGGTAAGGATTCAACCTCTCACTGCTGGGAAATGAGGAATTAGGGCTGACACTGGAATTTGTGTCTTCACACCTCCGCTTCTGGAGCGCTCCAGGTGCCTGCTGGGGAAAATTCATGGAATACTGGAATTCAGGATCTTCTCTATTTTAATTCAATTTAGTGTCTTAAAAGAGGAAGAACGCCAAGTCCAAAAGGAAAAATTTCAAGTCAAGCCGAAGAACAAACCAAAGACCTTCATCCAAAAGATCCAGAACCTATCCTGCAACTTGGCACACCCAGAGGATCTCCCCTTTCTCCTCACAAAATTTTGGAAAGGTTTCTGTTGGAAGGGACCTCAAATCCCACCAGTGCCACCCATGCCATGATCAGGGACACCTCGCACTGTCCCAGGTCTCTCCAACCCTTGTCCAACCCGTCCTTGAAATTACGAGACACTGCTGTTTTTAAATGCAACAACAAAACCTGGAGGCAACTACCAAAACAAAGATGAAGCCTCTGTGTCCAAAGACACCCAGGAAGGAGTGGAGAGGCTCCGGCTCTGCTTCCTCCTCGCCGAGCAGGATCGCTTCGGCTGCGTTCGGCACTCACAAACGGCGTGAACATTGCACCAGCTCAGCTCCTTAAACCATTCTTGGACATCCCATTCCTCCAACAGCCTCAGCTCTCCCCTCCAAACCCCAAAATCCATGCCCTGGCACCTGGAAAAGCCCAAGGGCTCCATATTTCCCATACCCCGATGGGTGCCACAGTCTGTGAAGCTTCACAGAGCTGATGATGATGATGACAATAAACGCGTCCCCAGAGCTCACTGATGACCCACCCCTCTCCCAGGAGCTGCTGGGACCGTCCTGCACTGGAGATGGCAGTACCTGACAGACCCAGGCCCCAGAAGGGCACCCCGGTGTTATTAAATTTAACACGAGTGTCACGGGATAACGGATGGCTCCCTGCACGTCCCCTCGATTCCGAGGAGGGTTTGAGCCCCGGCGGGCTGGAAGCAGCTCCGAATCCGAGGCAAAATCATCGATACAAGGGATTATGCAGATGGAAGGAACACCCTCGGCACCCGAAAGTTCTCAGAATGCAAACGACGTCAACGCCGCGAACAAGAGGCACTGCATCATGATGGCAGCAGGGACAAAGCCAGGGGGGTTCAAGGGACAAAAAAAGATTGTTTTAATAGGAGAGAAGCATCAGTCATTGAGTCTTACTTCATTCAGACTTTCCCTCCGAGCCATCCATCTTCGGTGCCAAGAGATGACAGGACCACCTCACTTTTCCCCCCGGCGCGGCGTTTGTCAATAATGCCCATTTCTCCCCAAAACAAACGACTCCCCAGCRTGGCCCTTTTCCCGAAATTGCCTGCCAAGCCCCACAAAGGCCTCGGTACCTGCTGTGGTCAACTTGGCTCCAACGGGGCCCCCTCCAGAGGTGGCCATTGATGGGTGGAGCCTTCCCCAGTCATCGTCCCCGAGAGCCACTTTGTCACTGCTGGACGGGGAGCRTCGCCAAGAGGGGACCGGGGTGGGGGAGTGGACAAAGGACATGGAGAGGGACACGGAGAGGGACACAGAGAGGGACATGGACGGGCACGGACACAGAGAATGCGATTCCCTCCGCCCTCGCAAACGCCTCYGTGGGCATTCTCTGGGAACAAAGGTCCCCGAGGCGAGCGGGCTCTGCATCACTGCTCCCTCTGTTCCCAGCACCTGCTCGGCCTCGGCCGCAGAGTCGCCGCGGTCACTCCGAGGCCACGGCAGCCAACAGTGGCACCACGTTGGCCGGGGTCAGGCCCGGCTTTCTTCCTCTTTTCACCTCCAGCATCTCCAGGAGCGCCCGGAGAGGACGTGGCTTCGAGGGACGGCGGCGGCGGCGGCAGGAGGAGGGGGGCAATATAGGTCTCTGGCGTAAATCACTGACGCCGTTTCCCCTCCTCTCCCTTCCCTTAAGACCTGATGGTCTTCAGTCACACATCTTAAAAGCAAAACAAAAAACAAAAACACAAAGACTTACTTGTCTCAAGTCGATGAAGGCCAACTGCAGCGTGTCCCCTTGGAACCCAGGCACTGGGCCGGATCTGGCAAACTCTGTGGGAAAGAAAAGAGGATAAAAAGCGCCTTTAACTAACCATGGACAGGGAGATTGGCAGACGGATGACAGGGAAGACAAGAGAGGCTGGGGGAGAGGAGGACCGCGCTTCTAAGGAGTCATGTCTCCCTCCCTTCAGCGTCTTTGTTCGCCCTTCAAAATTCGTGTCATCAAAACACCATTAATTCCACCGTCCTGACAGCAAGGAAACTGTACTAATTCGACCTGAAATTTATTCCCATGAGCCGCACTGGGCTTCAGAGTATTTGTTTTGTGAACGGACAAACAACTCGCCCAGGAGAAAGGGGGGGATGGGGGTGGAAAAGTTTTTCCTCTCGACACAATAAAATCTTCAGCTGTGAAACTCTTTTCAGTTCCGAGAGCTATTTATATTTTAGGGCGCTGAAGGAATTTTCTAATTTCACGCCTGTCACCAGGCTCCACGAGCATTCATCAAAAAAATATGCCCGGCCGCGTCATTAATTATCGGGCAGCGGACGATTTGCATGATCCGGCGATGGCGYCTCTTGGTCAGCGCGGGCGCCGAGAGCCGCGGCCGTTGGGTGGCATTTTCACTTCTGCTGGATGAAGACATCTGACAACTGAATAACGCCGCCTTCTAAAGCCAAGGGAATATTTCCGAGGCCACGTTTATCTCCTTCCAGGCTAATCTGGCCGAAATTCCATACTTTGGCCGTTCATTTCTCTCCTAATCSGTTCTTTAAGCCAAATTTCAGACYGCTGAGGGGGCTTGAATGGGTCCAYGTTAGAGGGCCTGGGTTCTTCCATGGCGTTTGACAGCTTTTTCTTGGGAATGCTCATGAAGCCGATGCCGAGGGCGCCTTTTGAGGCTGGTTCTGCCCAACTTCACTTCATTTTCACCCTCTGCTGTTACAGCTTCATCTCTGCGCTCCTCGCAACCTCTCGACACCGAGTTGTGAGGCCGCAGCTCAACATCATCAAAAAGCTCAAGGGGGAGCATCTGCCTGGGGTTGGACTCATTGCTCCTGCAGGCATCAGAGGTGCCACAGGAATGAAATGGTTTTTTTGGGATGAAGCCAGGTGTGATGGCAAAAAGGGAGMAGGGAGGGAAAATACACACCAAATACAGATTTGTCAGCGATAGGGCCCATTATCACCCAACCATACCAGTTTTTAGGCTACAGGTATCTCCAAACAGCTCCTAAAACCCCACATAGATGAGGATTAAGAATGGCTTGGCAATACAAAAGGAGGATTTTGCCTTTTGCCTCCTTGGCTAATCAGAAGTACCAACAACCAGGGTGATTTCCCATCAGGTGGCCCTCGCCTTGGGAATACTYGTCCTTCCAAAAGTTTCCCTATTTTCAAGCCAATGCCACAAACCCAGGAACATAAATCATCCCGCTCCCATTTCCAAAGCTTTCCTRGAGCAGCCCAATCACGGGAGCAGCCCCTCGGCTCTAACAAGGAGAGATTAATGAACGAAACGCCGGGACTYGGTCCTGTCCCTCATTTCTGGATGTCGAGAAGGGTTATTAATCAGCTGCCTGGCTCCACCTTCCATTAAAACCTGGGGATGGAGAACATCCTTCAAGCCCGACACAGGCACCTCCAGGGGCACAGGGGACACTTCTCAGCCCCCGCTTTTTAATAGTCTGGGATGCCAGAAGAGCTTTGAGATTGAAACCATCGCTCATCTTCGCCGCGATCAGTCAAGTGACAGCTGCTGCAGGACAGGCRCAAACACAGCTGGGAAATCATTGCTTTTACCCAAAGTTACGGCTGAAAAGGAGGGGGGGGAAATAAATAAAGAGAGGAATTGTGGACGTGGCTGTTCCCGTTTGGATTGGGGATAAGAAAAGCGCAAACTGAAGGCAGCGGGAACCGTGGTAGAGTTTTGCACGGGATGGGAGCATAAGGAGAGGAATGGGAGGAAGTTCTTCCCTCTTCCCTGGGAAGGTGGGGAAAGACTGGGCTGGAATTGCCAAATTCCCCCGGATCCCTGGCAGTGTCCAAGGCCAGGCTGGACATTGGGGCTGGGAGCAGCCTGGGACAGTGGGAGATGTCCCTGCCCATCGATGGGGTCAATGGGATGGGATTTAGGGTTCCTCCATCCCAAACTATTCTRTGATTCCTTGAGATCAGAGCTGCTCAGCTTCCAGCCAATTCCACTGACCGATCCTGCGATACTCCGTGTACAAAACCAGCCCAAAACCACTTTACATCCCCCAAAACCCGTTTTAATTAATCCTAATTGCAAAGGCATTTTAACGTAGATGTGCTATAAAATCAGGCTGCAGCTTGCCYGAGCCAGCAGGGAGGGAGGATCCACCCAAACTCTCTGCCTCTGATCTGCAAGGAATAAATCATCTTTACACATCCCCTCTGCACCCCACTGTCCCATCTGGAACAATTATCCCAAAAGCCACATCAATCCTAAAACACCCTGCTTGGGAAAAGCACGCCACCTGAGAAGCTCAAAATGTTCACAAGTGACAAATGAGTGTTTGAGCACCTTCTCAAGAGGGGAAGGTCCCCTGGGTGGCTCAGGATCGGAGATGTTCCCGAGCTGAAGAACCCAGCCGTGATGTCCCACCCTCCAAGGATCATCTCCTGTTCCTGATTTACATCGGGAGAAATCCTGGAAGAGAAACCYTGGAAGGACTGCAAGGAAAGCGAGTTTCTATTTTGGATCAAGGGCCTCRCAGCTGTTTGGAATCTATTTAGAAGCACACACAGAGTTGGGAAATTTAAGATATTCCCAACAGCATGAACTTCAAATCCTCATGAGAAAACGCCTGTGATTGTGAATGTTCTCACAAGGCTGGTGGATTTATCACCGCTGTCAGCTGCTTGTGAGCAACCCGAAGCAGATTCCATCCCAAAAGAGACTCCATCCCAAGGAAGATTTCCACCCCAAGGCAGACTTCATCCTAAGGCAGATTTCATCCCAAAACAGATTTAATCCCAAAAGAGATTTAATCCAAAAGAGATTCCATCCCAAAAGAGATTTAATCACAAAACATACTTCATCCCAAAAGAGATTCCATCCCAAAAGAGGTTCTATCCCAAGACAGATCTCACCCTAAAACAGATTCCATCTCAAAACAGATTCTATCCCAAAAGAGATTCCATCCCCAAAGAGATTCCATCCCAAGACAGATCCCACCCTAAAACATGGCTGCTCCTTAGCAGTTCACCTTTAGCTGTCCCTTCCCATAGTTCCCTGCCCATGAAGGGAGTTGGAACGGGATGGTCTTTAAGGTCCCTTCCATCCCAAATCAATCTGTGATCCCAAAGKAACCTACTGGATGAGGCCGGGAGAGCCACCGAGTGACACTGCCCTTCAAAACTTGTGACAGTCACACATTGAGCCAGCRCTGATTTGAACAGCAATTTTCATCWAAATACTGAATKAAYRAWGCTCTGGAACCTTCTAGRGAAAGGTGACCCTGCCCAYGGCTGGAAATGAATGGTTTTAAGGTCCCTTCCATCCCAAACCAATCTGGGATCCCRAAGGAACCTAYTGRAGAAAGCTGGGAGAGTCACGAACAAAACTTAGGATGGTCACACATTGGACCAATTCTCATAAAAAAATTAATCAATACTGAATTAACGACACTCTGGAACCTTCTAGGGAAAGGTGACCCTGCCCATGGCTGGAACTGGATRGTTTTAMGGTCCYTTCCAATCAAAATTCGATGATTTTGGGATTCTAGGATGGAGCTCCAAGAAGTGACATGATGAGCCGATATTCTCCATATCCCAAAGAAATTACATCAGAGCCGATATTCCCTAAACCCCAGAAGGAACGATGATTCCCCGGGGCTGCGGCACAAGGAGCCGCTGCTCCTGCGATCACAGCCCGCTCTTTACATACCAATGCCACCGGCTCATTCTCAACGAGGAACGAACAAAGTCTCGGCGAGAAAAAAGGAGAAACAAAAGCCGAGAGAGGAGCTTTGGAGCAGAGACACAGCCAGTTCTTCTGGGGTTTAATCTCTTCAAGCAGATTTCAGGATAATTTCCTCGGAACGAGCGAGCGCAGCGTTGGCCTCGCTACTGTCGGGCTCGTTCTTTGTGCCGTCCTCAGCGGCGAGGCAAGTGGCAAACACAGCAAGCGACCCACAGAGCAGCCCCTTGAGCAGAAAATCACGGCAGAATAGAGCGGCTCCGTGYGCCGCTGTTCGTACAAAGCGTTTAGCCAGCCTGAAGGGTTGAGGGGTTTGTGTTCAGGCCAAAAAAGTAATGTCTCTGCAAGGTCTACAGGCTTGGGCCACCCAGGGCAGGTCACAGGGGGACTCCAAGCCCGCTTCCAAAACATTTCACTGATGAAAGAATCAAGGAACAGGAACCGTTAAGCTCTTTACAATGGACAAAAGAAGAAAGAGTTCAAAGGCGCGGCAGAAAAGAGACATCCACTGTAAATTAATGACGGCCAACGAGGATCTCCCTGAGCCCCCAGCGCGGCTGCGCACGCGGGGACGGGGCTCGGCACGGATTGAGCCATAAAAACGGGCCCAGATGGAAACCTCATCCTCAAAAACATCATTTGAGGGCAAGATTTCCTGTGAATTACACGGGATTCGTGATGGCACCCTCAGGATGGAGGTGARCAGCTCCAGGGGAAGGGAACGGGGACAATCTGCTTGTGGCTGTGGACAGGATCTGAGGGAAYGACCATCTCAGGATTCCTCAAGGAAGAGTGGAGATCTCAAAGCCATCTTCCTCGGGTAAAGGTGATCCTAGAAAAGCC